TCTACGCTCTATGTTATAAAAGTGCCTGTGTGACATCTGGGACACAGTGTGACTAAGAACTCTCTTTTTGTTCTTACTTTATGGCTTTAAAAAAATATCGAGATATATATCTTATATCGCCATCCAGCTAAAAAATATAGAGATATGAATTTTGGGTCATATCGCCCAGCCCTACCTCCAGGTCACCAGCTCCTCCGGTGTTGCTGCCCATGTGAGGAGTGAAGGCTGTCAGTAAGATGGATCATCCTCCCTTGAGCATCCCAACCAGAGGCTATGAAGGCCGGGTACTATCGCTGAGCCGAATGTGTCTAAAAATAACCACTCCATTTTCACCCCCACCCCTATCATCAGATAGCCCCCTGAAGCTAATGGCCATCTGGGACCCCTATACAAGGTTATACAGGTTTTCCACAGCTGTAGCAGTAGCAGAGAGGAATATGCATTTCAGCTTTAGTCCTGCTGTTTTTGAATCACTTGTCTCAAACAAATACGAACGTATACAGGTAGACAGCCAACAGCTTTTCCTTTTTTTAAGACGCGTGGCCAATCAGATCGCAGAGATGAAGGGTTTTCGGTTACTTTTGCCCAAAGGACAATAACAAAGGATGTCAAATAGAAAACAGTTCTCTGAGTTGATAATCTCCTGTGTACAAACATTTAACTGCATCTGCTCGCTTCTTTTTGCACTTCTGTTGAGCATCAGCTGATGTTACAACAGCCCATGACCTCAGAGAGCCCTTTCTTCCTGTTACACCCACCCTTTGTCCTGCTCCATGACCGCTCCAACCACTTCTCCATCACTAACATCTCTCGCCTCGTTTTGTCCACAGCAACTGAAATATGCAAAAACTTTTATAACTTTATGTTGGGTGATACTTCCTGGAGGGTTTGTTGGAAAATGAAACTGTGCCAAATCCTCTGAATGTTAACGTGAGTGTGAATGTTCACATTGGACTGCAGAATTGGCAAAAATCAGCCGTAAACTTTATCGAGGCCCAATCCTGAGCTTCTGCTGATAGTCGGCTAGTCACAGCAGCGAGCGCCCAGAACCTTTCAGTTCATCAAATCCAAGGTTTGTGACGCCAAAAATCACACAATCTACAAGGTTTTACACAGTGACACATCCACAGTGTGAGGAGCAGACAGCGATTCAGCAGCACTCAGTGTTTGATGCTGGATCAATGTCTCGTTTGTAGAAAGCAAGAGACGAGCATTTGCTGCATGTCTCTTGACATGGATACAGAGATGTTCACATTTGACTGATGTTTAGTTTTGTGTATTTACTTCAGAACATTGAAGCTGCGTTTGGCCTTTGCCACTCAGTCAAGTTCTTGACAGCAGCAGCAGCAGCAGCAGCAGCACACGCTACGAGAGAGACACAGTGTAATGTCAAATGTCAAAGTGATCCACGGCAACGTCACGCCAAACATCTTCACACAACATGGACACCAGCCAATCTTCCATTTCTGTGTGACTTCTGTTTACTGTGTTGCTCATTATGACCGTTGCCAGGGCAGGACCGTTTACGTCCTATCAGCTTTCAGTCTCTCATCCACGGCTGGAATCCTGATACATGAGAGCAGATAATGACCGGACCTAAATAAAGCACTTCCCTCGGATCAAACTTCTCCCTCACAGGAATGAAGGGACATTATTTGATTATACAATAACAGAAGAAAGATTATCACAACCTGCTGGAACAACCCAAGAAGGATTCATGTGTAGTAAACAATAACAACAAGCACTGGGCTCATTATTTTTGTTTGTTTGTCCAACGCATCACCAACAGTGCTGAGACGACACAGGCAGCAGGGGGCCTCGTATGTGGGGAAGGCAGCAAACACCTTTGAAACATACGGGTCACCTTTCCAACCTAATAAGCTACACATGGCAGGTAACACCTGGAACCAGACTATGTATAGAAAGGGGCGTGGCCACTGGATTTTGAAATGCAAAGATAAGGGACAACATGCTAACTCGCTCCAAGCATACATAACAGCAGTTTCAGGATCACTGTTGTGGGGCGGGGCAGTGGTTGTGAGTCACCACTGACACGGTTTCCTGTGACAGTGGGTCAAATTTACATAGTTTATTTGGTAAACAGGTAAATATGTGTGACCTACGAGCCGCGGCAGAGCAGTCAAAGCGGTCTCACCTACAACAACTATGAATCTGTCTCCTGCTCTCTGACATCAGCGCTGCTGAAATTCTGATTGTGTTTAGAGACAAACCCACAGAAGCTACTTGGTGAAGTTTTGTGCTTAAGCTTACAGACTCTTGCCATTTTTAATTCTTACAGAGAAGCCAAATCGATCAGAAACACCAATTCAGTAGAAACAATCAATATATTGTAGGGATGCACGTATCGGTATCGGTGCATCCCTAATATATTGGCAGTTGGACAAAAAGTAAAAACTACCCAGCATGCACCAAGGCAAAAGCCTGATGGATGTTCTTTTTTGTCCACACTGTGCAGCCATTGGTGTAGATAGACAGCAGATCTGCTTGTGTGGATGTGTCTGTGTTTTCCTACCTGATTGCAGGTACTGATGTCCACGCCCCCTTTCAGGTATTCCAAAACCTTGTCAACGTTCCCCGCTCTGGCCGCTCGCAGGAAACTTGTGTTACTGTCCGACTGGAAGAAACAGAGAAGAAGCACACTTTACAAAACACATACTTGATTGGCTGCCTGAGAACATCGCACACAGACTCCTGTTCATGTCTAAAGACAACACGAGGCCCCTGGAACGCCATCCTTCAGTAATTATGTTTGCATTTAAAGAAACACACCTAGTCTGCAAAAGGCTTTTGTGCCTTCATCAATAGCAATGATCTATTTTTAAGTTTTCCATAAAAAGTCTAAATTATTAGTGCTAAAAATCCCACTGCACAAAATATCATCAGTGCATTTGCCCCCCTCCCTCAGTGCGCAGAAGCGTCCCTGCTGTGGAGGACATTCCCTGTTCTTGGATGCTGATGCAGTTGGAAACAGACCAGCCCTGTGAGGAGTGATTCAGCATTGTCCTCCACCAAAGTTAAATCAAGCTCTCTGCTCCCGCTGCAGAAAAACACTGCTGATGTTTGCTGCACTCAGATTGTGTTAGAGGAGTTCAGGGGTCAAATGCAGCACTGCTGTTTCTCTGACACTGCTTGTTTTCAGGGGGAGGATCTATTGTTAGCCATCAAAGTTTGCACAGACAAGTGAAGCACAGAGAGAACGAGCACTGACACTGCAGCAGTGATACCCGCTTCAGACACAGCCTTGATGTTTCCAGCTCACCTGCAGCCAACTACCACCTGGCTACTGCAGGGAACTGCACTGCATCACTTTCTCTCCCCACGCCGTGCTGGCGTCCGATCTAGAACTAGTCCCCATTTCATCAAATCAAATATTCAGTAGTATATACGACCCAGAGATGCTCTCTACCACAGGGAAATTAAAGCAACTTACAATCTATCACTAATAAAATGATATATCACTGTAAAATATATTGTTAACACTTAAATCTGTGTTGCTGTAAAATCTCAGATTTCTTCCCCAGTTTAATTTTCTGAATAAAAGCACAGTAAAGAGAAGCTTAGATACGCGTCTTCATGTTCACACAGTGAAGCCTGATAGCATCCTCACGTCGGGCTGCCGACACACATCATGCCCTAATCATCTCTGCCGCTGGCTGGTTGCTATAGCGACATGAAGACCAACAGGACCTTCAGACGAGCGAGGCTTTGAATGAGAAACGCCGGAGAGAAGGTGGGAACTGCAGCAGCCGTCGGACACAAGCTGCAGCTGCATGAAGCTGCTGTCGGTGACAACATCACCGACACCGTGTCTGTTCTCACTGACGCTCGTGTCTTCACGACAGCACGAGGCTCTTCCTGCTCATGCACCAGCACCTGCAGAGTGCCAGGAGCTCAACAATGCAAACTGTCCCCAACACGAATACTGTGAGCTGCTCGTGCTAAGGCTGGGAGCATCCATACCCCTTCCAGTTACCATGGAGACAAGCATAGTGACACGGTAACCATAGTGACGAGGCTGTTTCAGATGAAGCCAAAAACACTTGCTTCCTTTTGAACGATTTCTAAATGTTGAACATTACACGACGCTCGCTAACTCATCCTGTTCTCTTAGAAACGTTATTAGTGGTCATTCCTTCAAACTGTGGCTGTTCGTTTTCCAAGCCCCGCTGATTCACTTTGGACCCTAAAACTAACTAAAAGGCAGCTGAAAACTAGACGTTTTTACTACTTTTTAAAAATCCAATAAGGAGTTTGGCCTTCATGTGTGAGAACTGATTATGTAAACACTAAAGTTAGGCAGTGAAAAATAAAACAGTTATGAAGAGGTGGAGTCATCTCCTACTAAGCAGCTATTTAACCTAAACTGACCCAACTAACCTCCAGATTGTGATTTTATTAGTGAGCACATTTAGCCAGGATCAAAAACAAGGCTTATAAATAAACACAAACATTAGCTTGACATTGAATGAAGGAACAAATTCTATTTCTAGCTGGATGGAACAACAGTATCTGTGTTTATTAGCAACTGCACCTCACCCTGGTGCTGCTCTGCTTGTGCCGCTGACACATCAACACCTGGTGGTGGTCGCGTTGGCATGAACGGACCGGCATTACATTCTGACACAGTCATCAGTCTGATGTTTCATCACTATCATGATTAATGGTAGCTGAACTGAACACGACTGTTTCCAGCCAATCAAATCTTTGCCTACACGTGTTAACATCACCAATGTAGGACCTGGAGCATAAACCGCTCTCTGTTAAAGCAGCAGGAGGACGTGGTAGGACCTTTCCGAGCTGTCCACGTCTAAAAACAGGATGTGTGTCACAGACATGGAAGGTTGCTGTTGTATAAAACACATTTATGAGACAAACAGAAAGTAAAGAGCAGCATTGAAGCCAAACAGTAAATAAACCAAAACAAGGCCCTCAAAGATGCTAAAAGCCTGCAGAGTGGAGGTGTTGACTGGATAGATTCATTATGATTTCCATCATGGAAAGAGCGTCCTCCTCCTTCAGGTGTGGATGAACAGCTGAGTGGTGTTCAGTTGAGTTGGCGCTCTGCAGCTGTTTGAGAAACTGACCAGAATTTGCCAAATAAATATAAAAGTTACCAAAATGGTTCCACGCGAGCATAAAGCTGCTGCTGTAGTTCTGTCAGACACATATTCCTTTGCTCTGCGACAAACCTGAGGAAAACCGAACCCTCGACACCCAAACTGAGCAGGACCAGTGGGAATGTTCTGCTATGAAGTGTCGTCCACTTGTGCTCCTGGAGAAAAGGGTCAGTGTAAGGTCATGCAGGAGTGATTACCTTAATCATAACATGAAACCTATATATCAGAACAGCAGGAGGAATCACTCGATGGCTCGACAGGGGTGAAAATATTAGGAACCGTGTGTTTATAGCAACACAGCTGATCTCAATCTGAGGGTTTAGCTTTCAAACAAAGGCAGAGCTCCAAAGACTTGTGCAGTCACCTACTCACAGCTGACAAAACGAGCCTTTGATGATTCAATCCAAACTAAATTTCCACTGTCAGCAAACACATTAGGAACCAGAGTGCATTCATGTTTCCACCTCGGTGTTAGAGCGCTGCAAAGCCCGTTGAGACGCACTTATTGCACGAGTCACTGAATGAAGACACAAACAAACTGTTTCACTGACACAGCAAACGTTCACGCACTAAAACTGACCCCAGACTGAAGAAGTGATATTTTCTGGTCTTGTGTTCCCAACAGCTGCTGAAGTGATTACATTGCTTTTCAAATGAGATACAAGAGCCCACATGCTGCTGTGCCGGGACACTTTATGAACACAACTGTCACACTGGCCTTTGAAGAGAGCACAAACCATGTGCACACCAACAGAGACACATATCTGTCCATATCTGTTTACATCCAACTCAAAGGCAAACACAGAGTCTGCTTTGAATGTGAGCTCTTACCAGGATCAGAGGACGCTGCACAGGAAAATGCTCCATGCAGTAGAAGTCTGGCAAAGCATTCAGGTCCAGGTGAGCCGGGCTCCCAGCCGTCCTCAGGCCCTTGTCTGAGCCACACACCTTACACACGGCTGTGTTGCCCATGGTTCAACTTATATAAGTCTCTTTCATCAGAATGTAAAGGACTCTAAGTGAGTTAATCACTTTGATAATCCCCGTCCCTCCTCCCCCTCCCCTAAAAGCTTACAGGCTACCATACAGCAGGACGAGGTCCTGTCCTGGTTGCACCACTTGACTGGACGCCTGTGCAGAGAGCTACTGTTTCCTCATTAAAGCATCCAACTCAATGAGCATTGACTAACAACCCCTCGTACTCCACCCCCTCCAACCCGGCTATTTTTACACCCACCAGCCCAGCTATGCATGACGAGGGAGGAGAGGGTGGTGGTGATTGGGTGGCATGCTAAACAAGGCAGGACCACCGCAGACACGGCAAGCATTATGAGGCAAACATGGGCCTAATTTCTGTTAATATATGTTTGTTTTCCACTAAAAGTGATAAAAACCTCTGCAGCTTCCACTTGACTGTGTTTGGAAAGAGCCTAAAACAACAACAACATGTTAACGTGGCGTCACGAGAGCGTCCGAGCTCCGGTGTGCTCCACGAGAGCTACAGGTGTTTATCATGTGTTCATATTAACTGCTCCTGTGAGCCAGTGTATTTTTCTTTGGACATTGTGAGGCATCAAAGAAGCTCCGCCCACTATTCTCTATCACTACATAACAGCGCACAATCAGTTTCAGGGCCATAGATAGACTGGTTGTGTTGCAGCACAGCCTGATGTGACCTTCTCCTACATACCATCATCATAGTGGAAATGAAACTTTTCCGGTGCATGCTGGGTGGACATGCGCTACAGTGCTGTCCTGGATCAAAAACTGTTGAGGGCAGCACACTGACCGTTTGTCACTACTTAGATCGTCGGCCCAGAACACTGTAGTCAGATTAAACCCACACAAACTGAAGCTGAAGCTCACACGAGGGATTTTTACACTCGTCCCTCCCCCTCGGTGACTTTTCTGTGGCACCGTGGTCTCCAACCTTTACTTCAATCACTGTTTAATGGAAGCAGACACAGTGTTGTCCTAATACAGGTCTATGTCAGCCTGTAGCCCAGAGCAGCGACGTATTGATCCTGATGGACTGAATGCAAATTAAAAGCCACACAGACCTTTTCATGGCAGCACAATTAACGGTGTGCTGTCTAACAGAAGCTTCAGACGTGGCCGTGTTGTGTTCTCCGTGTGCATATTTGAGTCCTTGTGTGGGACATCAGGGAGGTAAATGTCCTCATTCTCTTTGCACTCCTCTAGGTCACGACTCACACAATAATCCCACTGTTAAACAGATCAGCTAAACCATTTGGATTCGCTGAATATGTTAGCGTAGGGAGAAAGACCTCTCATTGTGGACAGCCAGTGCAAGCCCATGAGAAGGAGCTCTGGGGTTTTCTATGAATGAATGATTAGAGACTGACTAGAAAGAAATCATTTAAATGAATGGTGAGGAACATGGCCAGTGAAGTGGATCCTTCAAAAAGTGAAAACCAGTCCAATCTGAGCAATTTGGAGCATATCCAGGAAATCCAGTACTATGAGGGGCAAACAT